TGCGCGACTCAGATCTACGTTTTTATAAGAATAGTGACTTTTCTATAGACGTTAATTTATACATGATTGTTTAATGAACACTATATTGTAGTGGAAAGTGCTGCACACATTTAATGTTTGTACTCCCCCTATTTGAATATTATTTCTAGTCATAAGCTTAAACAATGTGGTTTATTCAAACTTCAGAATGTTTTTACATGGTGTAAGCCAGATATTGCGGACAAGCCTAAGCAGTTATCTGTATGACTGGAAGTGATTCTTAAGGTGAAAAAATTACTAATATTACAAAGTTTTTGCTTTTTTAATATGTGGTATCTAGTTGTTTATGTTAGCTGTTTAAAATAACTGAGCTAATTGGGAATTGATTGAAATTGTAACAGCATCATGATCAGAATAGTAAACAGGCAATATTGAGGATGTGATGGTATTATTATAAGTTTCTCTTACATAAACATGATCAAGTAGACTTCCAGAAGATATAAATGTTGGACTTTRTACAATCTGAATGTAGTTTAATGATTCCATCAATGTTTCAAGTGGTTTGTGTTCATTTTGATTGTAAATGTTAATGTTGAAATCACCTAGAATTATGTCAATATCATAATCAATTAATACATTTCTAATATTATGAGTATATTGTAAAATGTTCAAATCTTTTTTTCTGTAAAGTAATATTATAGATTGCTTTATATTAACTATGTGATTAATGAGCACAAATTTCATTGCATTTAAAACAGGGAGATATTCATATTCCTTGATTTCAATGTAGTTTTTAGTGCATAGCGCTAAACTTGAGAATCTGTCTGAAGAATGATCTTGCCTTAGTAATGTGAATTGTGTTCTTTGTATTTCAGGTGAGGATGGCTTGTTAGGTCTGACCTTAATTTTCACCAAGATCGGTTCTATAGGTACTACTTTGTGTTGTTTGGCATATTGATTATTACCATTATTCATCTTGTTTTCTCCTGCTTTGTTATCATCAAACTTGATGTATATTATTGAAGGTTTTTGAGTGTTCGGATTGGTATCTATTTTGAGTACAGTACCAATTTGACCATTGATTAGCCTGTCTGCAATGTCAATATTAGATGTAAGCATTACTCTTGCAGTTTCTTTCAAATGGAATTCATAATCTAGTCCACCTGTTTCAGATCTTCCTCTCGACAATACTCTGTCAATATCTTTCTTGTTTACATTGTTAGGATATTGATCAGTTGCTCTCACAATAAACATTTTGTCTAATTTCGTTCTGTTGTGCTCATCTACTGGCTTATTTTCTGCCCATATATGTAAAGCATCTGATGGATAATTAATATCTGTTGGACTAATTTYTCTTGACTGAATAGCCTCTATGTCTTCATCTGTTTGAGTTCCTGTTCTGAATCTGTTTAGCATTGCAGTAAATGCTTGATCATTTTTCTGTCTCATTATTTCTGTCAGCTCAATCATTTTAAAGACATGCCAGAGATGACAAAGATTGAAAGCATCATTTTTATAGTTCTCAAATACAAGTCTTCTACGAATTGGTGGTAACTGATATAAATCTCCAACTGCAATAACACTTATACCAGCAAATAGTTGCGAATTAGTTGTACCAAAGATTTCTTTTAACCTTTGATGAATATGAAGGAGAGTGGAATTAGCAACCATTGATATTTCATCTACTATTAATAACTTTAGGTCAGACAATGATAATCTTAATTGTTCTTTTTTGATCTGACATGGCAGGCAAGATATCACCAGTATTTATAGGTATTGCTAACGATGTGTTTATAGTTGTGCCATCAATATTAATAGCTGCCACTCCAGTAGGTGCTGTTAGCAATACTGTAGGTTTCTCAGGATTCATTGGTGCATATCTAAAGGTCTTCGATACTGTGTGATAGATTGTTTTAATTAAATGACTTTTTCCTGCCCCTGCACCACCAGTGATAAACAGATATAATGGATCAATATTTTGTGGCTTTAGGCTGTTCAAACTTTTCATTTTATTTCTACACCATGACAGGACATTGTTGAATGCTGTACGTTGCATTTTGTTTAATGATCTAACTGATTGACGTAATTGATCATCGGATATTTCTGATGGTTGATTATAAGTTGCTATTGCGGCAGGTTGACTGGGATTTTCACTAGTTGATGCATTTGTTGCAAAGTGTGATGGTTCTTGCTCATTGAATTCCTCATCTGGTGAAGACTCATTTTGCATATTATTTAGTTGTAGATCTGCATTTTCCTGATCATTCATTGAATCATATGAATGAAGAACTCTATTTTCATTGCTTCTTAACTGTTCTAGAGCTTCTGTTACTGCTTCTGAGTCTGGCTCAAACAATTGTCTGTTTTCATGTATGATATCTTGTACTCCTGGCTCATAGAATTTTGATGCATATGTATTGTCATTTCCAAGCAGATTACATTCATCTCTCCATGGGTAATACAACATTAGCATATGATGGAAAAACAATCAGGTTCTTTTGTCTTATTTGGCCTATGATACCTAATAACTGCTTTGACTCTTCTACGTTTCATGATTTCTTTAGTATTCATCAGTCTGATTCTTTCAGGCAGTAATGCATCATTTGGTTTATTACTAGAGCTATGGTTTATTTCAACCAAGTCATCAGTGAGTACTTCTGGTTGTGTATCAATAGTTTCACTATTTTCTTTTCTGTAGTCTTTATAATAATAGGCTTCAAATTTTGCAAGACAGAGGTTTTCTATAACAGGAATTGAAACTGGTCTAATGCTGTAGCGCTCTATGATTAGATTTGAATATATCTGTGCTGTCATCTTCCAAATCATCCAGTTGTTGTTTTGTCTTGGTAATTCGTATGCGTTTTTCTGCTGTGTCAGTACTAACAAAAACTGTTTCAGGAAATATTTTTCTCAACCAGAGCTCTGGCATACATCTATATACACATTCTCGTGAACTGACTCTTGTGAAATGCTGCACCTATTTTCCTCATGTTATCAGCTTTTGCCTCTTTTGCTGCATTCATTATTGCCTGTGAGCATTCTGTTTCGTCTTTTGTGAAATATGAACAAATATAAGTTATGCACTTATAGTGATCAAAGACTGGCTGGAGATCAACATTAGCCTTGAATCCTTTGATACCAGCAATGAAATAGTTATTTATAAAGCAACTGTTAATGGGTCGCCTTAAATGCAATTCATAGTTGCTGTCTGGTGAAATTGTTAATGCTGAATAGTATT